GGTGCACCGTGTGGTTGGTTTCCCCACTGTGGCCCAGAGTGAGGCACAGGGGGGGGGCACAGATACACAGCCCACACCCCACTGCTGCTCCCATCCCATGGCATCGCTGCTTTCCAGGCTTGAGATGTATCACTTCGGGGTGAAGGTGAGCGTCATCGAGCCGGGCTTCTTCAACACGGGTATCACCCACGCCGCCAGCGTGGAGAAAATTTTCCTCAAATACTGGGAGAGGCTGCCCGATGAAACCAAAGCGAGTTACGGAGACAAATACTGGAAGGACTGTGAGTGCATCCCCAGAGCCCATCTGGCACCGCAGTGCTGCGCTGCGCCAGGACCCAGTGGGCCTCCTGGGCACGAGGTAAGCGCCTGCCCCCTCCCTCTGCCCCCAGACCTGGCAAACATGAATGTGGCAAACAGGAGCTGCAACCCCAACCTCTCGATGGTGACGGACTGCATGGAGCACGCGCTGACCAGCCGCTACCCGCGCTGCCGCTACGCCGTTGGCTGGGATGCCAGGCTGTTCTTCATCCCGCTCAGCTACATGCCCTCCGCCATCTTTGATGCCTTCTTCACCCACTTCTACCCTAAACCTGCCCAGAGAGGGTGAGGCAGTGTGGGCAGAGCTGGCATCGCCCCACAGCTGACATCCCACATCGGCACGCACCGCACAGCACTGCCACGGCTGGCAAACTGCTGCTGAATAAAGATGACCTCCTCCTCCCTGTATGGTGTGATTGAGCCGAGCTCCTTCCCTCGGCAGCACACTGAGGCTGTGCTCATGGGGGAGCAGCTGGCACAGTGCTGCCAAGCCCCTGCCCCGCACAGCCCGTGCCCGCTTTGCCCTCCCCTGGAGCTGGGGGCACGCAGGAGCTGCTGGCGAGCGGGCGGCCACCCCAGTGGCACAGTGCAGAGCGGGAGCTCAGCCCCAGCGGCGCTGCTCTGCTCTCATCCCGGCATGGCTGCATCCTCACGCGCTTCCTATGTGGATGGTGCGGTGCGGTCAGCCCTGCAGTGCCGTGCACGGCCTCGGGTCGCGCTTCATCAGCACGAGCGGCTGTTGCAGAGCTGCGGCAGCGCTCCCGGAATGGCTCTGCGCAACACGAGGCAGCGCGGATCAGGGAACTCGAGGTTTATTCCAGCGCTGGTGCAATCCTGCCCACCCTGCAGCACTGCCTGCAGCAATTCGGGCACCGCTGCCCCCGCTGCTGCCCCGTGCTGCGTGGCACTGCTGCTCTGCACTGAGCTCTATTTATACGCGGGGACGCGGGCTGTGCGAGGACTTGTGGAGCGGTGCAGACCTGCCCAGGTAACCCTGGGGTTTGCGCTGTGGTGTTTGCAGGTGCAGCTCCTCCGGGATGGGCACAGAGCAGGGAGATGTGCAGGAGGAGTCAGGCAAGGCTGGACTGGGGGTGTCCCAGCGGGGTGGGAGCTCTGTGGGGTGGCGGGTGCTGCTCTGAAGCCCCACTGCGATGCTGTGCTCCAGGGGAGCGTGGTGAGTCTGCACTGAACTGAGTCCTCAGTGCGTCTTCCTCACGATGAAGGGAAACCTCACAGGTGCGTTAAAGGAACGGAAACCGAGCGCAGTGTGCGGCGGGAGGGCGGTGGGGGCAGGTAGGGCCAAGAGCCACAAACCAGCACCCACCCCGAGCACCAGCTGCAATGGGTTCCATTGGGGTGGCAGCTGACAGGGAAGTGCGAGGACATCTGAGAGCCAAAGACCCCAATCCAGGGAACAGCCCCCAGCGTGGTATGCGTGGGGCAGCAGAGAGACAGCTGCAGGGGCACAGCCAGGAGCCAGGATGACGCTGACCCGCAGGTGCTTGCAGGAAACCCCCACTCAGCCCCTCTTCCCCCAGTCAGGATGTGGCTGTGGCTGCTGGCGCTGCTGGGGCTGTGGCTGCTGTGGCGATGGCACCGCGAGCGGCAGACGGTGCCCGGCCTGGAAGACAAGTTTGTGCTGATCACAGGCTGCGATTCGGGCTTTGGCAACCTGCTGGCCCGGCAGCTGGATGCGCGGGGGCTGCAGGTGCTGGCGGGCTGCCTGACGGAGTC